GATTTAAAGCTTACAGTGTGGTATGTATAATATGCTATATGATACGAGGGAATGGAGTGTCTGAGGATTCTGGTATCGGTGGAACCAAGGACATCCTTACCAACATCAAGGGATGACTGTACTAAATTTCAGATCCCTCAAGCACCTAACATAGATCCCTGTGCATGGAACAAAATCAGTACACACAGACAGGTTTGTAGGTGTGTAGACAGAGAGCACAGAACCACTGCTTTCCCGGAAGCTCTTTGCAGGTTAAGCATTGCATTTCCCATGAATAGGGAGACTCAGAAAGATATCAGTTATCCCTAAGCAAATTTATAATTTTAACACATCTTAATAAATATGCTAATATTCATTTTCTGAACAAGGTTATAGGTACATAGAAAAGTTTATTAAAGTTATTGTTTCTAAGGTTCCATGTGGTCTGTGTGCTCCAGAAGGCAGAACTACCAGAGTAAGAGACAAGGCCAGCACGTTTAATGAAGCAAGAACCAACAGAAATATCTTGAGGCCAGAAATTGGAACTCCAGCCAGCCTCCACTGTGGCCAGGTGTCCAGAGATGTTTACGGCCATCTCTGCAAGACAATCATGGAAACTGCATCTGGGCTGCAGAGAAACAGGAAACCTCTGTGTTGAGACCAGTATGCTACCCAGATCCCCTATGTGGGTGAACCTGCACCCAGCAGAGGTTTCTATTTGAAAATTAAATAGTAGAAATTTCATATGCATTTATAGAAGCAGCAATGGCGACAACCCTTTAAAAACAGTATTATTGCTTTTCTTAGAGTCTGAAAATAATGCAGGATTATTTTACTTCCCAAATATAGAAATGTATTAAGAAGAAAAAAGATTTTTCTCCCAGAGTAAAATCACAGTTATCATTTTAGTGTGCATAATTTTTTTCAAACATTTTTGTCTTTATGAAATTTTCATAATTTCTCATAATTGTAAATTTAAGAGAACAAAAATGGAATTATATAGTTCTATACTCTCCTTTTCTCTCTCATATCAATGAGTATAAATCTACAGTCCATTGTATAGACATATTGTAATTTATTAGTAAATTCTCTTTGGATTGATAAGTTCCTACCTTTAATTTTCACCATAAAAATAAACAATATCATATGGAGGTGAAAGCATGAACCCCCAAGCCACTTCACTAGCTTTGTGACCTCTCTGTAGTTCACTTTTCTCAGCAGTAAGTTGGAATAACCACAATACCTGGTGTTATTGAGGATTGTTTTAAGGATCTTATGAGTTAATAAATGTTATGTTTTTAAAATAGTTCTTGGTACATAATAACTGTTCATAGGTGTTAACTATTGTTACTGTGAATAATCTTAACACTCCTTCATCTACATATGGGGACTTAACCTATTTGCTTCTTTGAACACTTTTCTAGAAGCAGAAATACTGGGTCAGAGACTAAACATATGTTAAACTTTTATGCTTCTTTCCTAACTGCTTTCCAGAAATGTATCAACTAAGGGTGGAGATGAGAAATGGAAGGAAAACCTTCAGTTTTCACTACTTATATTTCTATAGATGAATTTTTATAAGAATATGCATATATATATATATATATATACACTTTTTATTTTAATTTCTTTTTCATGGTGCTGGGGATTAAATTCAGAGCCTTGTACATGCTAGGCAAGTGCTGTGCCACTGAGCTACATCCCCAGCACTATATATACTTTCAAAAAGCTAATTTGCTCTCCTGTTAATATATCTATAAAAGAGCACATATCCTGGGGCTGGGGTTGTGGCTCAGCGGTAGAAGCAAGAACCAACAGAAATATCTTGAGGCCAGAAATTGGAACTTTAGCACTTTGCCTCGCACGTGCAAGACTGTGGGTTTGATCCCCAGCACCATATAAAAAATAAAAAAATAAATAAGTGAAATAAAGGTGTTGTGTCCAACTACAACTAAGAATTTTTTTTTAAAGAAGAGCACATATCCTTTTATCTTTAACAACACTCTTTGATTTTTGCTAATATTATGGATGAAAATATTATCTCATTATTTGCATTTCTTTGATTCTCAGTGCCTGCTCATTTTTCACATATTTTTAAGAGCATATTTATACAGTATATATGAAGAAACTTAAAAATGTTTATACAATTTGAGTCATGATTCGATGTCTATGAAATTAAACCAAGAAAATCATGGTTATACTCATGAATTTATGTCAAAAATCATCATCCCCATATTATATGAGTAGAAACTGATTAAATAAATTATAAAGCATGATGCCATCTCCATGATGCTATCCTATGTAACCATTCAAAAAATTATATTAAGCAGAGTTTGTGTAACATTATTTTATAATAATGGGGGGTTAAGAGAAAGTTAGATATAAAAATACAAAGAAAAAGCATGAGAAAGAAATATATTAAAATGTTAGTAATCATTATTATGAATGATGGAGCCATGAGTAATCTTTTTCTCTATTTCTTATTTTTACTTTCCTACATTTTCATATTTTCTCTATATATTTATTTATATATATGTGTGTGTGTGTTCCCCCCACACTATATATATATATATATATATATATATATATATATATAAAATTCCAGGGATTTAACTCAGGAGTGCTTAATCACTGAGTCACAACCCCAGCCCTTATTTATTTATTTATTTTTATTTTAAAATATTTTTATTTGTAGATGGACACAATAGCTTTATATTATTTATTTATTTTTATGTGGTGCTGAAGATCGATCCCAGCCTCATAAGTGTCAGACAAGCACTCTACCACTGAGCTACAACCCCAGCCCACTCCCCCTTTTTAAAATTTTTATTTTGAAACAGGGTCTCATTAAGTTGCTTAGGGCCTTTCTAAAATTCTGAGGCTGGATTTGAACCGATAATCCTCCTGCTTCAGCCTCCAGAGGGACTGGGATGACAGGACCCTTACCATGCCTAGTTTATATTTCATTTTTGTAATTAAAAATGACAAATTTTGCCTTTGTTAATTAATTTTTTTTACATTTATGACAGAGGCTATGCATTTGGGGGGCAAGGGATGAATGGGTAACCTCTGTACTTTGAATTTTACTGTGAGCATAAAACTGCTTTAAGTAAAACAACAAGCTGGGGGCTGGGGTTGTGGCTTAGCGGTAGATGGCTCGCCTTGCGCGTGCGAGACCTGGGTTCGATCCTCAGCACCACAAAAAAATGAATAAGTGAAATAAAGGTATTGGGTCCAACTACAACTAAAAATAAATAAATAAATATAAAACAATAACCTGCCTTTTCTCTCATCGCCTCCTTCCTAGATACACATTCCTGGGTACCAGACCAAAAAAAACCACCGGAAGAACAAATTTAGCTACAAACCCAAGTGCAGAAAACAGATCTCCTGAGATAATGGCAAAGTTAGAATTTTATAGCTACAGAGTGTAAAATGAGAGTGAGGTTAACTTCAAGTAATTGAAAGAGGAAAGAGAGAAGCTGTGCATTGTCCCCTTTCAGATGAAGGGTTGGAACCCAGGGGCAGGCGCTGAAAAGGGACAGCCGGAGTCTATGACTTTGTCGATTGCACCAATCTCCTCTGAACATGGCAGCCCTTCTCCTTGCCAGTCTATGCCCTTCTGTGGGCTATCCCTGGAGATCTCCCAAAGCTCTGTCCAAATGGGACAAAGGGGAAGGGATGTCCCTGGGGCCACCGGCAGCTCTCAGGCTGCGTCTCCTCTTCTGTGGTGCATATACATTTAGGTACTAGCATGCTCCAGCTAAGGAGCAAGGAGCTGGCTAATATAGCAAGGTGGATTATGGGGGTGCGGTTGTCCTTAGACAAAAGTCACCTACCCTGTTCTCATCACTGCCACTGAAGCTCAAGACTTTTTCAAGAAGATATATTGTCATTTCCTTGATAAAGTTCTAGTCAAGATTTTGTTGGGAAAACTTTAGGTTTTTCTTTGCAATATTTGCTTATTCATTTCTTAGATTCTGGATTTTCAGCTGAATGGCTAGCTCTTAAGTGACCTTATGCAAGTTAACTGTCTCTCTTCCCCCTCAGTTTCTCTGTGAATCACTTGTGTTAGGATCCCATGTAGTAACACAAGCCAAGGTTCCTGCATTTTCCAGCATGAATGATAAGTACTCCTCCAAATGCAGCTTCCTCTCCTCCTAGGGCAGTTTGTGTGGCCCTACAACCATAGAACACTAGTGCTAGCCGTGGCTTAGAAAGCATGGGACAGTGGGTGGTCTCCAGACTTACAGGCTTCAGCCATTAATAAAATGAAACGAAAAAAAAAATTGAATCACCTGGAGAGTTGTGACATCTTATTTTGTAGGTAAGAGCATGAAAAAAATAAAGATTCAAAAGATTACAATCTTCTATTATTTATATTTCATAAAAGAAAAGAATCTTAACATCCTGTTTTTTTAAAATAAGAAGGAAAGGCACAACATGCAGATAAATTTAGCTTTTGAAAAACTCTTTTCTCATGTTTATGAAAACAGCAAAGACCAGTGTCAGGTATCCTCGGCTCTTCATGGTCTGCCCTCACTTTATGGATGAGGAAACAGAAGCCTGGACAGGTATAGTGACTGCCTAGGGCCATACAGTGGCTGCAGTACCTAGGAAACCATTCCCGGACATCAGAAATGCTCACATGTGGCTGTCCAGGTACCTGGATTGGGAGTTAGGGGGTCTGGGTCCTACTCCCAGATATTAGCCCTGGAATCGCACTGTGTTCCTCATTCCACTTTTCTAAGATGGGGGTGGTGATCCCCCTGCCCCATCCCCAGGTTTCAAGAGGCCTCCAGAAATGCATCCTGGGTATTAACAGAGTAAGGTATTAGGGAGCGAAATATCTCCATGTCTGGGATTTACCTGAAAGTATTTCAGCCAAAAAAAATAGATGAAACAAATATGGCAGGCAACATATTAACAATTTGTTAATACTTGAAAACTTTCATAGTAAACACTTTATAATAATAACAATAATACAGCGCAAGGCAAATGGAAGGGATGGCTTAACTCACAGAGAGGGAGTCCTCAGGAGGTCCAGCCCTAGGAGTGGAGCATGGAGTGGCCCAGTCTTCACCAGTCTTGGGCAGAAAGCCAGGTTCAGGAAGTGATGTTGGTTTCCCTGCTTCCTCCCCAGGCAGGCTTGGTGCTGTGGCTGGCTGAGAGGAGCCTCTGGCCCTTTCTCTGTAAAGACACCATCTGACAGACCCAGCCCTGCTGGGGGACACTGGGGGCTGCTTAGTGCAGCCAACCAGCATGGGGGCTTATGAATATGTAAATAGGGGCCAGAGCTGGTTGGCTGCTCTCTGTCATTTCCTCCTGCCCCCCCCCCCCCAAAGAAAGCCATCTCAGAGACGACCTTCCTGAAATGCCATCTCTTCTGTCCTTGCCTAAGGACTCACAGAGCCCTTTGAACATTAGGAGACTGGATTACCCAGTTTCTCCCAATCCTTCAGCCTCCACTGGAAAGCTCCTGGACACTGTTTCCAAATCCCCCCAAGGAAGCTCCAGAGTGATCATCTTTCTCCATGTCCCTAGAGCATCCTGAGTAGACTGAATTCTGTCCTACACCAAAGCATAGCATTTCAAATGTGCAGGAAGAAGAGAGGCTGTGCGTGTGGCCTGTTCCTGCAGCAGAGGTTGGAACACTGTTGGGAAGGCTGGTTGCTAGGCCCAAAAGTGCCCATATCTGACAGGTGAGGAAAACTCACTACCCCAATCCAACCCCTCAATGTCACTCAAATTTTGCTATCTTCTCCTTCAGCTTGGAAAATGGAGTTGATGTTATAATACTCAGTCAATGATATTGATTGAGCTACAGCTCAACTCTTCAACATGGATAAATCTTCAAAACATAATGTTGAGTGAAAGAAGTCACAGAATGATGCAGAAATTTGATTTAATTCCATTTCAAAACCAGGCAACACCCCCAAAATGTCTTGATTTTCATTGTGTACTCCTCTATCCATTATTTTTAATTACAACTGAATAGAGATAGATAGATGGAATCTAGGTAATACAGAGTGACTACAATAGTCCTGATTTTATGGAGCCTAGAGATGGAGAGGCAGGGTATAGCCCCACCTACCATCTGATCAGTAATGTTCATAAATACATAAGCAACCACGGGAGTGCATAGGTCAGACCACACATACAAATACTGGGGAATTTGAAGTAAGTAAAATGAATGCTGAGTGTTTTATTCAAGTTGAGCTGACCCTTCGATATGTTCTATGAACAGAGCCTCTTAATCCTTTCTTTCTTTTTAAAATATTTTTTTAGTTGTAGATGAACACAATAGCTTTATTTATTTATTTTAAGTGGTGCTGAGCATCGAACCCAGTGCCTTACACGTGTGAGGCAAGTGCTCTACCACTGAACCCAACCCCATCCCTTAATCCTTTCTTAAAACACAAAATTGTTCTTTATTGTAATTTTAAATATATAAATATATATTTTTCTTCTTTTAGCAATTTAAAAAATAGATGAAAACCAGTGAGGGAAAGTGGTGCATGCCTATAGTCCCAGCTACTCAGGAAGCTGAGGCAGGAGGATCATAAGCTCAATGCCAGCCTCAGCAACTTAGTGAGACTCTCAGCAATTTAGTGAGAGCCTGTCTCAAAATTTTAAAAAATAAGAGACTGAGATTGTAGCTCAGTGGTAGAGCATTTGCCTAGCACATGTGAGACACTGAGTTTGATCCTCAGTACCATGAAAAAATAAATAAAAGTATTGTGTTCATTTACAACTAAAAATATTTAATAAAAATTTTAAAAAAGGCTGGGGATGTTGTTCAGTGGTAGAGCACCCCTGCATTCAATCCCCTGTACCACTAAATAGATAAATTAAAATAGGCAAAATACTATGCACATGCATATTGAAGCTATAACGAAAATAAAGGAATGGTTGACATGTAATTCAATATAATCATTGTTATCTGGGAATGATGATCCAGGAGGGTCACACAGGATTTTTCCATCCCTTAAGCTGGGAAGTATGGATATTTCTTCTTCTATTATTATTATTGTTATTGTTGTTGTTACTATTATTAATAGTAGTAGTAATGGGGATTGAACCCAGGGGTGTTCAACCCACTGAGCCACATTGTCAGCTCTTTTTATTTTGAGACAGGATCTTGCTAAGTTTCTTAGGGCCTCACTAAATTGCTGTCTGGCTTTGAGCTTGCAATCCTCCTGCCTCAGTTTCTCAAGTTGGGGTTATAGGCATGTGCTACCATGTCCAGCTCTTTTATTATTTTTCTATAAAACATACACATAGACTTTTATCCCCCATTGAATGAAAAATATATATATATATATATTAATGAAAATACTTTAAAAAACATTCTCTTTTGAACCACACTATAACATATTCATGAACTCCTGTCCCAGTAGGGAATGCTGTGCTCTGGGAGGCTCCCAATGCAGAAGAGGGTGCTAGCTTATGGGATGCACCTTGGATCCCATGGAAGGTCTTAGAAGAATTCAAGGAAATCAATTTCAACCTTTTTTTTTTTTATCTGAAAGAAACTTTGCATAGTATTATGCACAGGTGTGTTTGTATATATTTGTGTGAAAGTTGTCTAAGACTATAAAACTAGGGTGATCACTAAAACCAGGAGAAATTTTTGCCACATTGTAACCAGGTATGAGCTTCTAAACTTTAGAGAAGAACCTTAAAAATTAATCATTAAAAAGCAAGAAAGAATTAAGCAGTTATTGGTGGGGGGCAACTGGAAAGGTAGCACAGCGGTAGACCATGTGCTTAACATGGGTGAGGCCTTGGGTTTAATCACAGCTGAAAAATAAATAATAATTAAGCAGCTATCTAAGAAATAGCAACAGCAACCCCAGCAAGAGACTGCCATAGCTCCTGGTTATTCTTAGACTCTTCAGCTGTGTCCAGCAGTGTTGTGAGCACAAAAGTATTTAGTCATTTCACAAATACTTATTGAGTACCCACAGAGTACCAGGCACCGTGTTGTGCACAACACAACATTCAGGAAAATGACAGACAATAAAAAGGACATTACCATATAATGCAAGGCAAAGATACACACTACTTTGGAAGCATAGAGAAAGTATCTGTCAACTGCCAGAAAAGGATTAGGAAGGGATTTGGAAAGAGACTTAAAGGATGATTAGAAGTCCCTAGGCAAATAGGAGGGAAAAGCCCACACAAAGATGAGAAGGAGTGAAATAGCAGATTGGGGTGACAACAAACAGTGTGGTATGATTAAAGCTCAGGGTCAGTGAGAACGGGAAGTAGAAGCCAGATTATCAGGTGCCTGAATGGGGAGTTTGGACTTTATTCTATAGATAGGGAGAAGCAACTAAAAGAATTTAAGCAGAGGAGTTACAGGATTAGGTTTGTATTTCAGAAGGATCTTGGATAGAGGTGTGAAGGATGGGCTAGAGAAAGTGAGAGTGGAGGCTCAGGACTGTTTAGGAAACTTTGAAAATATTTCAGATGAAGGATGCTGAAATCGACTGTGGGCAGCAGCTGGCATGGATGTTTTTTCTATTTCTAGTTAGGGATTCTACTCACTACTCCAGAATTCCAGTGGCAGTGCTTGTAGGGTCTGAGTCAGAGAAGGCTCTGTGAAGGTCTTGAGGATTAGGCAAAATAACTCAAGTAAAAGAACCAACACCAACAAGCACCAGGCGATTGGTTGATTCATCCATTCATATGTTCATTCATTATTCATTCAACCAGACGTTTTTGAAACATCTTTTCTTTTAGGAAGATGGACTACTACTCAGCGTCCTGAGGACTTGACAGAGTTAAAAAAAAAAAAAAAGGGAGGGAGTGGGGATGCCATGAGCTTTCATTTTAAGGCAGCTGGAAGAAATTCAGCTCACATAACCTAGTCAATCTCTGTCTCAGGTGCAGGGGATACAGCAGTAAACAAGACACAATGTAAATCTCATGAGATTAGGGGTTTATATTCTAGGAGTAGGAAGACAAACCAACAAATTCCAAAAATACACAGGAAACATGGGGAACAATTAGTTTGCCTGGAGAGTTGTTCTACAGACTGGCAAAGATCCGATGATGCAGAAGTAAGATTAGTTGGTGAGGTTCATAAAAGGGCAATGAAAGCCACACAAGCTTAAGATCAGTCAGGCTTGACTGCCAAGTCCAAAACCTGTGCCCTCCTTTTCGTTCTCTTCCCGTGATGCAGAGGCGACATGGCTTGGTGCCCTAGGTTCCCAGAAAAGAAAGGCGCCAAACTCAAGCCTGCGGGGAAGGCCTGACCTGGGGGCGATGAGGTGGCTGGGTAGTGTAGACACCTTCAGGAGGACCAGCCCTGGGTGTCTGGCAGCGCAGCGAGCTCCTAGTGCGCCCTCCCGCTACCGGCTCTCGCAAGCCGAACCGCGAAGCACTGGGTTGCACTGCTCATACCACCCCCTGCCAATGGTTCGCTCCGAACACCCCTCCCCGCCTGGCGGGTGCAGCGGTCCACCCCACTTCCGGTTATTGCCGGGCCCTATATCCGGTGTCCGCCCGCCCTCGGCTCCTCCGCTGGCGCTATGCTCTCCCGGTCCCGTTGCGTGTCCCGGGCGTTCAGCCGCTCGCTCGCTGCCTTCCAAAAGGTACGGTCTGCCTGGGCCGGAGCTCCGGCAGGTGGGTAACCTGCTGGCGGGTGGACGGGCTGCCTGAAGGGCAGGAGCGCAGCTCGGTGGCCAGGCCGGACACCAAGGGCACCGGGACGCGGAGGCCGCGGGCTGGGCGGCTGGGGGCCCGGCCGATGTCCTCGGGACGGTCATGCCGGACCTTTGGAGCCCGGCGGCCCCTTTCCTTCCCGAGGCAACTGGCGCCGACCGTTTCCTGCTGTACCCCACCCTTCACCCGGCTTGGGGAGCCGCGCCCGTCCCAACATTAGACTGACTCAGTTCGGGAGGAGGCGCCGTGCGGCCCCCAAGCTGGAGCCGGCGTCCGTCTCCTCCTTTCTTAAAATCAGTGGGTGCCATTCCACTGGGAATTTGAGATAGTTTGGCAGACCCAGTGTGTTGCATTTATATTACCTTTGGAGTTGTGAGATCCACCTGTCATCAGCATTGGAAGTGTGCACCTAAAAAGCTGTTTCTTCCCTCTTTTCATCTTGGGTGACGTCGATAATGTCTTCTTTCTCAACAGGGGAACTGCCCTCTAGGGAGACGTTCCCTGCCTGGTAAGTTCTGCCCTTGCCGTCACCTAAAATGCTCTCCTCCTGGGCAGAGCAGCGTGTGAGGAAATCTGGGTGTATATTTCTTCTTAATTTTCAAAGACCATTCAGTTCATAGGAGTGAAGCAATATGCTACTTGATCATAATAACTCTCATTTAATCATTCAGCCCTTGTTATTGAGGTTTTACTGTGTGTCAGGCACTGTGCAGCTAGGCACTCATTAGGGATGTGGCTATTAACAGTTCTTGTCCTCGTGCCCTTCTGGAGCTTACAGGCTGGTGGGAGGGACATGGTGTGAATTGCTAAACAAGTGAACAGTCACAAATTTTAGTAAGTGCTGAGAAGGAAATATGAAAATGGACTGAAGAGATTTCTTTAAATTGGTGACATTAAGGCTGAGATCTGGAGGATGGGACAGAGCAAGCATAGAAAACAGCAGAAGAAAGGGAGGAATAACATCTACAAGGTCCCTGAGGAGGGAAAAAGGTTGATGGTATTTTGGAGCTGGAAAAGTGTGATTTGGCTGGACCACTTTTGTTAAGGGAGACATTGTCATGAGATAGAGATGGTGTGGAGACCTTGGAAGGAGTTTAGATTTTATCCAAATAGTGGTTTGTATTTTTTAAGGTGGGCTTATTAATAATGTATCTTACATAGCTTATTATTTTTATATGCCTGGTATAAATATATGTTAAATCAATCAGTCTTATTGTAGGGTTCTTTGTGTCAAGTGTTGTCCTGAGTGCTTTCTGTGCTTTTTAGTTAATCATCAAGTAGCAAGAGAGGTAGGATCTCTTTTAAAAATGCATAATCCAAAAAAGAGGAGTTAAGTGTCATGGCAAGGTCACTCAGCCAACTATTGGTCAAACCAGGTCCACCTGACTCCTTCCTCAGTCCAAATCTTAACCCACTGTGTTCTCATTTGCTCACATACTCAACAGATCATTTATTAAGTGCTTAATCCAGTGTGTAGCCACTGTGCTAGGTGATGGGATACAGATGGTCTCTACCCTCAGAGATCTTATGGGCTAGCTGGATAGAGAGAGCAAATACGTGTTTATGCACACTTAAGTACATATTTATATGTGGTTACTAGGAAAGATCAGGACATGTTGTGATGAGCATGATGTAGTCCAGCTTGTTGGTAAAGACTTTCTAAAAGTGGTGACATTTAAGCTGAGACTTGAAGAGTACATAGGTATTAGTCAGGAAAATGATATTCCAGGCAAAGGGAATTACTTTTGCAAAGGTTTCCACGCAAGAAGGAATTTGACCAGTTATAAAAATGGAAAGGAACCCTGTATGGTTGGAAAGATAGAAAGAACTGGATGGTTCATGACAGTGTAAAGTGCTTGGACTTTATCCTAAGAGTCAGGAGAACATATGACATCCAGCACAGTGTGTATTGGACTCTCAATAATAAACCCTTTTATTTTTATTTTTTTTTGGCAGTACTGGTGATTGAACCCAGAGCCTCATGCATGCTAGGCAAGCACTCTACTAATGAGCTGTACTCCCAGTCCTGATAATAAATAAACTTTCTTTTCAACTGGAATTCTGAAAGATGTCAAAACATTTCTCCACTTTCTAGATTGACAGGACCAAAAAAAAAGAGCCTTGCACTTGGGGAGTTTGCATCTTGGCTCAGGGATTTACTTTATTTATTTATTTAAAGAGAGAGAATATTTTAATTTTTTTTTTTTTAGTTTTCGGTGGACATAACATCTTTATTTTATTTTATTTTTTTATGTGGTGCTGAGGATCAAACCCAGCACCCCGCGCATGCCAGGCGAGTGCACTACCTCTTGAGCCACATCCCCAGCCCCAGGGATTTACTTTAGAGTAGTCACTACTTGTAGATGAAATAGGAATGGCAGAAACCCTACTTGTAGATGAAATAGGAATAATGGCAGATGGTCTTTTTACTTCAGAGAATTGCTGGGAAACTTGAAAATAAAAATGAGGTCATTATGTGAAAACTTTTTATAACCCAAAAGCACTGTACAAATGAAACCTGCTATAGGCTGAGCTCTGAATTGGACTTGGGGTTCCAAAAATTGGTATATACTATTGTGTTCTACTTCAAAGACATGCTGCACTCAAGAGTTTGCACTGCATAGTCACTGGCTGCTAGGCTAGAGGCATCTTACTTGAGAATTAAAACTTGGGAATGTTTATGAGGAGGTAGGCATAAGCAGGAGCTATCTCATTTGGTGTCTTCTGAGCCTAGGATTTTGGAAAAGTTGTTAATAGATCTGAGAGAGGAAAGACCACAAGACACAGAATATATTCAGGGGAGGTGTCTGTAGTTATTAAACATCATTTAGGGAGATGCAGTTAAAATTTATGATAAGCACAGTTGGTGAGCAGAAAAGGGGCTCCCACCTTTTTGAGAGTGACCAAGGTGAAGGGCTTCAGAAAGAGCACAAGAAGACAATAAACTGAAAGGTGGGGAAATGATTTGCTCAATCTTCGGACAATCTGGAGACCTTGGGTCTAAAGTAGCTCAGTCTTTGCTGCTAGGGTTCAGTGAGTAAGGTTTCCAGCCCAATCCACTCAAACCCAGATCCACTACCCTGAGTCTCCAGTTAGGTTATGTAAAGTCACTAGATCAGCCGTCACATTTTTTTGTTCTTGTTGTTTGTTTGTTTTCCCCAATCTTCAATTGTATTTGAATACTTGGGAAGTAGAGACCTTTTATTATGAGAACATAGGAATAATGAAAGTTTGTAAACTTTTAAGGCAAATAAGATTGTAAAACTCTTTTGGGCTGTGTCATCAGATATCTCCCCTTTCCCTTCCCAAACACCTATTCTTCCCATTGTTCTCTGCCATTAAGGCTACTTTGGTGGAAAAGTTTGAGAAGCAGGACTCTTGTGTGATAAAGATTATGTCATTAACTGCAGTTGGTCCTGCTCTGTCTTGGGGTTAGGGGGTGAGCAGATCTCTTTTCCCTTTCCATCTTGTATCCTGTGTAAGATAAGAGTTGTTGGTTAAGAGTTGTTTTGTTTCTTGCAGGGGTCTCCTTATGTCAGGGACCAAGTTACCCTGACAGCAGGAAGATTGTGTAAGTATCACTGGGGAGTACAGATATGTGGCCATGGGGTATTCAGAATCCAATTCTAAATTGACTATCTGATTTCTTCACTGGCCTTGAGACCTAGAAATCAAGATGGTATCTTGAGTCCTTAGATCTAACTTTGATGATCATTTTTTAAATTTATGATGTACCTTGGGCTTCAGCTTCATGTCAGGTTTGAACCAAGAGTGTACCTGTCATCAGGTGGTTGGTTATTAACTAAAGTTAACTTGGAACCCACTTTTTATGGGAATAGGTATAGAAGAGTGCTCCTAAATATTCTAGTTGGATATAAGCACAGCTGAAGGACTGGAGGGGACATGTATTGTGGAGATTGAGAGCATCCTCTTGGCAGCATAGTTACTCATTTTAGAAACAGAAAAAGCAGACTAGTTGAGCTCTGGGACTTTGATTAGATTGGAGGAATATTATTATTGCATAATGTTGCATTTGGAGAAGGGCCACCTCTGTGTATTTCAGATTCACTTCTTATGAATGTTGCTCTGTATGCCAATTATTTTCATGGTGGTAGTTAAAGGATGCTCTCTAACAACTTGTTCAAGAACTATGAGCTGCTTTCTCTACAGGGAGAATCTTCAAAGTGAGGAGTCAGCAGATTAGCTTTCTTACTGTGCATCACAGTTAAGATTTTTTTTCTCAATTTAGATAATGTTGCACTCAACAAGAAATATTAATTCCTATGATATTTTTGGAGGGCAATTTGGCAGTTTTAAGTCTTTTAATTGCATTGTACCTTTTGATCTAGCAATTTTACCTCTAGGAATCTACACTGAAAAACTGGTGTACCCAGATTTCCCTCAAAATGACAGTAGGGGATTAATTACGCTATAGCATGTTAACACATTTACACTATGATAAGTAGAAAAAAGCATTTTACAAAGTAATTCCATTTTCTATTGTTTGGTACAATTCCATTATAAACATTCTTTTTGCCATTCCTAATATTCTGCAGTGAATATTTTTCTTTTTCTTTTGTGTTACTGGGGATTGAACCCAGGGACACTATTCCACTGAGCTACATCCCCAGCCCTTTTTATTTTGAGACAGGATCTTGCTGAGTTGCCCAGGCTGGCCTCAACCTTGCAGTCCTCCTGTCTCAGCCTTCAGAATAGTGGGGATTATAGGTATGCACCACTATGTAAGGCTTATGCAGTGAACATCTAATGCTTTTGTAATTTTAAAAGTTATTTAAATGCCAAGTGCTGTGGTACCTACCTGTAATCCCAGTGATTTGGGAGTCTGAGGCAGGAGGCCAGCTTTGGTAACTTAGTGAGATCCTCTCTCAGAAAACAAAAGAATGGCTGGGGCTTAGTGGTATAGTGCCACTGGGTTCAGTCCCCAATATTGCAACCCCAACTCTCGAAACACCCCTCTGCCTCTGCAAAAAATTTAGAGATTCAAAATATATCACCTGCAATTTAAATGAAAATGGGGCAGTTATTAATCTCTATATAATAAATACAACAAATAAGTATTTGAAAGTGATTTATGGAAAAAAAAATCTAATCTTTGGGTTGGATAACCCTAATTGGGTCACCTTAATCTAATACCCATTTTTTTGTTATGTGAATGAGTGAATGAGTTATCCACTTTGTTTTATTTTGGTTTTAGTTTTGTCTTTTGAGGTGTTGGCAATCAAACCTAGGACCTCACACAGGCTAAGTAAGCACCACTGAGCTACATCCTGAGCTCTCTCTCTCTTTTTTTTAAATCTTTTATTATGAAACTATTTTCTAAGCTACATATGGTGGTACATGCCTATAATCCCAGCAACTTGGGAGGCTGATCCAGGAAGATCACAGAATTAAAGCCATTTCTTGCCCGCTTAGCGTGACCCTGTCTCAAAATTAAAAAGGCTGGGGACGTAGCTCAGTGGTTCAACCCCTAATACCACAAACACACTAAAATAATTTTTTAAAATTTTTATGTTTTTATTTAATAAATAATTACATGGCTCAGAATTCAAAAGGCAAAAAAGGGGTATTAATGAGAAGACTTCTTTATTCTTGTCTTCTAGCCCTGTTGAATGCCTTTTCTCAGTAGCAGCTGTTGCTTCAGGTTCCTGGGTATCTGGCAGAGCACTCTCCGTTGCATTTGCATGTTACCTGTTAGTTCTTATCTATGGGCATGTGTTTTCACATG